AAGATTATACGATTCCTGAAGATTTAGGTACACCTAGAAGATTTAATGTAACATACAGTAATATATAATAGTTCTAATTTGGGAAGACAAAGGAACAATTTTGTTATATATATCTGTATTATGAGCACTGCTGTATATAATTATTCATCTAAGAAAAGGCAAGGAATTATTTTTTTCCGAATAATACAATAATAATTTTAAATCAATTTATTTATTATATAAATAAGTATTTTTTTTAAAATTACAATATATTTTTTTCATCATACGCATAAACATATAGTAAAAATTATATATATAAGAATTACAAAATGTATAGTATTTTAGAATTATATTTATGTTTCAATACGTGCATCCGTTATTATGTCTTACTATTTTTTGTTAATTTTTTAGTATATTATTGTTTTGGTACCTATGTAACATATATTTTTTTTTGTTCATATATTATTCTGTGGTGATAATGAACACTAGCAGAATATATAATATGATAAAAATTTAAGAATATATATTATAATAGCTATTATTTTTTATTCATATTTACTGAATATTGTGGTGTTTTTTTTTTTTATTTTGTTCTCATAACTCTAATTACTTTTCTCATAATGCACGTTACACATAAGTAAATAACCATTATGTTTATAATATATTTTTTCCCTTTAATATATACTATGAATTACATGTACTATAATTAAATTCATTTTCTTAATATATATTTATTTTATAATTTTCAGTTCTTTGAAAAGTATCCTTTAATTAGAAGTTGTTGTATTCAGAATATATTTCACTAGCATATTTATTTTTGTATTTATTTCATTATTTAATTAATATCTTCAGAATAACTGTAAAAGTTTGCTAGTGATTTCTTCTTTGCATAACTAGTTCTTTACCCTGTTTATATGGAGACAGAATTCTTCATTCCTGCTCAATTCATAATAATTTATGAACTGATTATATTTTTTACGTGTATTGTAATCATCTGAAATAGTTCAATTGTGTAATATAGACAAACATTTTTTGACAATATGAGGAATTTTTATTTAGTTTACAGAAAATAGTACAAATTATATTGTTCAAATATGTATCAAAAGAGTTTCATTATATCATAGTTTTATACTTAAAAAAAAAACGGCATACAGAAAAAGGGTTAATAAAAATTTAAAGTGAACCTAATACATACACATATATATATATATATTTACTATGAATAGAAATATTTTTGCTTAAAAAATACTAAAATAATTTCGTAATCTACTAAATGAACAAAAAAAATTAATAAAATGTACATTGTTGCAATGATTTATCATTTTTACCATTCTGTAGTTTTAATTACAGCATAATTTATTTATGTTTATAAATTTTATAAAAGCATTCTTAATGTTCTACAATAATTTAAAAAAAAAAATAATAATTAAATACATATTGAAAAGGCAGAACTATTAGTTAATATATACTTAACGTGTAGAAAAAACTGCTTTATCAATTTTTTAAAAACAACTATTGACAGTTATATTTAATATTCAAAATCGTTATATGCAAATTGGACACTTCTTTCTTTTGCAACTGAAGGTCTAAATAGTACCCTCTGCAACTTTTCATTCATTTGTTTTCGTTTTTTTTTCAGTTTCTTTTTCTCTGTAAATACCATTCCTAAGGGGGTGTACTGAAAAAAAATAACAAAATTATAAAATAACAATTTAGTTGATGTAAATAACGAAAAATTTTAGAATAATTCTTAAATTATATTATAATTTAGTTTACCTTTGTAAGTATTATCAGGAACAAAATAATTGACAAGAGCACTAATGCCATCATGGTATATTTTTTATATGGTATCCTGTCTCCATTTTCAATAGATTCATTTTGCAGAACACCATTATCAGTGATATCTGTAATCTCTACAGACCCAGTTACACTTAAAACATTGTCTCTTCCTACTATATGTGTTACAAGAGAATTACCATTATAAGATACTTCTAAAATTTTATTGGATATTTCAGAATTTCAATTATAAGATGTAGCAATGTAAGTGAAATTTCATATTGAAATATGCAAAATCACACATTTCATCAAAAAGTGCGCTAATAGGGATAACTCCCTCATTAGTACCATTATCATGGGTACGTTGATCTGGAGTACCTTCTTCAGTATTACTTATATGAATATTGATATCTGTAATAGCATGTTCAACACCGCTATTTCCATGACTTGTATGAAAATGACTAGAACTTTTACCTTTGGGAACTTCTTTATCAGGAGATGGGTTATCCGTATCTTGAGATCCATCACACATGCTACTACTAGATTCAGGGGTTCCTTGTGAAGTATTAGCACCTACATGGTGAGAAACATATTTAATAAAGGGTATATTACTGAGCACTATAGAAAAAAATGTTTTGTAAACAAACGTTATTATATAAGAGATTTCTTTAACAGCATTATGATTTTTTTTCAGACTGATATGCTGAGCATTACTTTGAGGAACTTGTATTATACTTTGGGTGATATCTTTATTCGAATCATTCCCTTGATGTGTAATACCTGAATTCGATAACTGCGCAAGGTTTTTTTCAGAAGATTCATTATTTTCATTGGTAGTTAATGTATTATTTAATGAATTACTTAAGGCGGACAAACATTCTGGGGTAGTTTGCAATTTTACGGGTGTAGTAGTACGATTATCATCCATTGGTGAAGATACTTCTTCTTGATTCTTTTCAAAATTATCTGTACCCGTTTCTTGTTGTTTTTCTGGATTTTCTTTTTCTGATTTGAATTCACTCTCAGCATTATGCTTTTCACCTTGTTTTCCGTGATTATCACTTTCTGAACTTCGGGGATCCGAAACCTGTGAATCCAATATTGTTTGTAACATAGACCCTTCATCAATTGTTACTGTTTCGTCCTTACTAACATTATTTCCTTCACATAATTGATCTGCATCTGATTTTAATGCAATATTTCCTTCATTACAACATCGGGTTTTCTTACTGTATTTGCATTCACTAGTACATTTTTCACAGAAGTTTATTTCCTCATTTTCTTTATGCAAATGCGCAAAGGGAGAAATTTGATTATGGCACTCTCTTTTTAGATTGTATATATTTTTATTTAATTCATTACATTCATTGCATATATGTGCACAATTATTTTCATTAAAACTACTACATTTTTTTTCAAATTTATCTAAGTATTCAAAATATTTATGTAGGCAATCCACAGAGGTATATTGATCGTTATCTTCATAGGAAATAAGAATTGTAGGTTTCTTTATCTCCATTTAATTTTTATTATAGTTCTCATCCTTTTTACATTTTTTGAAGAAATAATATTAAAAAATAATTTATGATTATGAGTAGGTACATTTGCAAACGAGAATTAAATATTTTTTATCAGGACATATTAAAAGAATTAGGGAAACACAACTAATTATATTAAGAAACGATATAATTTATTTAAAATATCATTGGGATGCTTTGAAAGCAAATACATGAATAATTTCAAGTAATAGTATTTGGACACATAATTATTTGTATGCACAATAGTAAAATAATTCAGTTCGCAAATATATGATTAATGAATTTGCAATATACTTATATATTAAATTTATGTAGTATAAAAGATGCTACACCAAAATACAAATAATAGACATTAAATGGAGTAAAATATACATAAGAATATAAAGTTTATATATATTTAATACAAAAGAAATTAATATATTGAATGTAAAAGTTTTCATTTAAGGGGCATATAAAAGTAAAATAAGACTAGTTCTAGAAATTGCTTTTTATACATACATTTTTACTTTAATAGCAATATACCTTATATATTTAATACTTTCTATATATGTACCTCTAAACTCATATCTCGTTTATAGTTTAAATCCTTTTTTATAAACAGTGTTACTATTAAAAGGAAGTGCGGTTATAATTTGGTTGGAGATAAAACATTGGGTACTTACATATTTATTTCATTATTATAATACTGATATATTTTGAATCCTTTATTGCTATATATAAAGACATGTAGTAAATAATATATAAACTCTATGTAGATTTATATTATTATAATAAAAATTATTTATAACTATATTTCCTATTTAATATATAATACAAATTATAACGCGTATATATTGAAAATCATATATCTATGTTTTTCCTGCGTGTATATGTTTCATATAATTCTCTAGAAAGATCTTCCCTATTACATAAGTCTACCTTTTACATGTCTGCATATTTATATTTTGAAAATCATTATATTTATTTATGGTAAAATTATGACTTTATAATTTAGATGCATACCAACAAATACTAATATAATTAAAATTAATAAATAAATTTATAAATACGATATACAATTTTTGGAAAACTGCTAACATATGCATGCAAATTTTTTTTATATAATGAGCACTAAAAAATATAAATTATGTATTACAATTTAATCCCCTAAAAAATATTGATATATGAGTTCGGATTTATAATGATAATACACAAAACCAGTTCATCCCATATTATTCTAATAATATTTTTACAGCACTTGCATTGAATAAGTAGAAATAAATGATTATTAGATTTTCTTGTTCTAAATGGGAACACTGTTATTTTGCTTTAAACTAACATTTTATTTATTTTTTTGCTGGATAAATAAATTGTTTTCATTTACATGATATATAATAGATTTCGGCTATATATTAAATATATAAGCAAACTATTTTAAAAAAAATAGATTTGAAATTAACTATACTTCCATTAGGTAATTCACAAAAAAGGCATATTATAGCTTCTTTACATGATTATTTGTATGTTTCTGTCTAACATCCTTTTAATATAATGTTATTTAAATAGTTTTCCTATTAATGTATAGTAATAACAGTAATGTTAAATTATATAATCTTGAACTACTTAACTTACTAAACATTCTCTATAGTTTCACAAGAGTTTAACACGCATACATTTTTAGTGACATTAGGTATACTAGCAGTTATTTAAATAGTATTATTGTACTATTATTTTTTTGATTATATTGTTAATATGATTAATTCTTTTTCTGTGCCTGTTTATATTGTGTATAACAGAACCCATATATAGAATAAATCTCTCAAAAGAAATATATTATTTTACTTTTAATACGTTAACTCTGTAGAGGAATTATAATAATGTTTTCATTATTTAGTCCTGGTTTCCATCAAATATAATACATAATATTATTGTGAATTCACTATTTTATCTTTCATATATGTTCATTAAATATTTAGTGATGTGAATATATTATATTTATGTTTGTTGCTCGTATGAGCTATATTTGTCTGAATGTGTTTTATTCTATAATGCAGAAAAAAATACTTCAGTTTTTTAGGTTTCTTTTTAAATATTTTCTATGTCTTCACAGCTATATAAGTTTGTGTATTCATTTAAAGATTTTATGGTATTTTTAGACATATTTTTTAGTTTTTTTAAAATATACTTAGTTTATAATGAGAAACTGATCATTTTTAATACCCTTTATAAGTGTCTTAAATAAGGGCTTTTGACTATAACCAAGTCTATTTATTGCCCTATGTGTCTAGGTACAAATATTTTTTCATACTCTTCCTAATGTAATTAAGGTTTACTATTCATTAAAAAAAATATATTCTTATAATTCACAATATTAAAGATAAAATTATTAACCGTCTTGAGCGTATCCAATTATATTAATAGTTATTATTCAATACTCAGGAAACTTTGGAAAAAAAAAATTTTTTTGCCCCATAAAATTTGATGGTTTTAAATCAGCACAAAGTGTTACGTACATATATATGAAGGGAATGCATGTATTTTGTAAAATGTGGATTTATGTACCTCATATCAATTATAACTATTTCATTGTTGTTTTTTTATTATTATTTTGATTATTTGCACAATAGGTACCATTAATGTTGAATGATAAAAAATAATCAAACAAAACCGCAGTAAGATTAATATACAAGAATAAATGAATGCAAAGATACTCATATGTTAAGGGATATTTTCATACCATAATGTACATAATAAGTGAAATAACATTTTTATGTTTTATGTGTAAAGATAAATGTTATATACACTATAAATATAATGGAGAAAAATAGAATAAAATATCACTTCAAATTTCATTTATGTTCACTTGGGCAAGGTCAAAAAAAGAACAATGGATTTCATATAATAATAGTAATTACTTTTTAAAAAAAGCTATTAATTGTATGCTTAATTTATATATGCACAATGCTAAAATATTTTTAAAATTCTCTAACATAATTATTTTATATAGTTTTTATTAAAACAATAAAATGCACATGATTAATTACAGTCACAGTTTAATAAAAGAAATGTAATAAATACATTGTTTATTATGCTTTTTTTTTAACAAAATATATTTAGAGCTTCTATTATTATTTGAAAAAGAAATAAATTAAACATTTAGAAAAAATACATGCAAGATGTGTTTTATTTATCAATAAAATTAAGTACCTTTTAAGCGAATATATAAAAGGTATTATAACATAGTGATCTTCAAAGGACAATTCTTTTTAGTGTAAAACTGCTTTTTAACTTTTTGGTAATTATTAATTAATTAAAATACCGTATTTTTTCAATTTATTTATCGAAAAAAATTATTTTGTATGTATATAGAAATATATTAATATTTAAGCGCTTATTTATCATTTGTCAAAAAATGGATACTGGAACCAAACACTTCTTTCTAGTACACAAATTTTATGAGCACCGAGGCTTCACTATTTACACTAAAATTCACAATATTGAATAAAACATCCATAGAATTTATAACAGTTTGTGACACATTTTTGGCTATTTATACAGGAAAGGAAAATAAAATAATTTATATGAAGTTTATTATTTTATGTTGCATTTGTATGTCTTAGAGACATTAAAATTTTAACGCGCCTGTTTTGAAGAACGTTTAATTAAATAAATGACATTAATAACGCTTGAAAAAGGATAATATAAAGGAGCTACTCTTTTTTAGAGGAAAAATGAAGATATAATTTATCTAATGAAATTATACTTATTATTATAGGAAGACTTTTTAATAGACGATATTTAAAAAGATACAAATATTCATTAAAGACATGTATAAGTTGCATATTGTACAGATAGAAAATGACAATGATTTGATTTATTCTATATTATGGACAGTTATATGATACTCTGTTGTACTTATATTTTGCAGAAGAATAATTTTCTCAATAAGTTCATTAGTAATTAAAAATTTTCATTTTATATGGAGTAATAGAACAATAGAATAGTTTATTTTAGTTAAATAATATTTTTCCTTATAATTTATATCTTTCTTTTTATAAAAAATTTAAACTGATGAATATCATATAAGTATATTATATATAATGTTATATATCATTAACAAATAGGCACTAATACACGAACATCATTATTTCACGTAGTTAGCATATATAAAAATATAACCGTAAATTTTAATAAATAATATAAATTGGTTATGTTCATCATTTTAATGTATATATAGACAAGTATATCAATATTTTCTGGAATTTGAAAAATAGTAAGGGACTATATTTTATTGGTAAGAATAAATTTATTTAGTACTATATATATTTACTAACCGTTTAACAGTTTGAAATTTTTTCAAGTTTACTAAACTATAAAAAATATGAAGTATTTGGTAATTTTCATATCATAAATTATATTTTCATTGATAGAATAATTTAGAAAACATTGTCTAAGAGGATAAGAGACTTTGTAAATATGATTGTAAATACTTTTGTAAAATTATCAGACAAACATAGAAAATAACGCAACAAATGAATGTTAAGCGTTACGAACAAGTTGCAAGATAAAATAGGCAAAAAGTAGTATAAAAGGAAAGAACTAAAAAACAAATATTCTAGATATAAATTTGTTAAATGCGTATCACTATTATTTGAAAATTATCCTAACGTAGGAATGTGTTGATTCTATGTGGCAGAAACCCTTAATCAAATAGGAAGAACAGAAAAATTAACATGATAATATTGAATATTTTAAATATATGAAAGAAGATAGTTTTGATAAAAAATAGTGGAAAAAATATTTAAAATTCCTTACATATATTAAATTTACTTACATGAAGTATTATGGTTCTTTTGGAACTAGATGCGTATATAAAAATGTTGAATAAAATTGGGAGTATTATTTTTAATTCTGAAGAAAAGGTTGATCAAAGTGTTCTGTTGACCATTTTAAGGTCATGTAAGTAGTTACGTTGAGACTAGTGTAAAGGAGTTCTGAGTGA